GCATCATAAAAAATTCAATATCATAACTTTTTGATCACATCTCATAGATGCATATGGGAGGACACCTGTCAACTTCAATTTTGATGAAATTAATATCTGACAGGGGATATGATTCAGGGGTAATATGAATCATTACACTTGGTATAAACTGATGGATAAGGGGATAGTCTCCATTTAGTCTTAAGAAGCAATACTCTTGGCTGAAACACTGCTGATATTTTGAATGTTTGTGTATGCATTCAAACTGTGATGAGATCTGAGTTTTCTTGTTTTTCAAATCAATTAAATTTTTAATTTGGCATGACAAAAATGGAATCTTTACTTGTGCATTAACTACTGCTGCTAAACCTACCAAAATTTTAAATAAACAATGCCTTGAAAGATCTCTAAAATTCTTTTTGTTAAGGTTTTGGTGAAACTTTCCTTATAGTTGTGATTAATGTTGTTCACTTTTTTTTTGACTTGGTGGGTAATTTGATTCATATGCAAAATTACCACAGAATTGGTTCTCATGTTATTGAGGGTAAAAATGAGTATCTTGAGAAAATAACAAATAGAGGATATAGGCAGGAAAGTTCTTGTCATAGGAAAGATTGAGAAGAAGCCTTATAAGCAAAAGCTGGATATTTTACATTTTCTCAGCAGTAGCTCCAAATCTGAAGTAAGTCTGAGGTAACTTAGAATGATGGATGATGGATTTATTTGCTTAGATTCAGCATCATTATCACGTAGATAAATGAAAACAGTTAAGAATCATTTCAAACAAGGTAGGAAGAAAGGAAGTCATGTTCCTGAAGGGAGATGACTACATAGACTTATTATTTCAAGGCTTTGATAAAAAAGGATATTCGATAGGACTCTAGTCGAATTCTTGGAAGGGTCATACAGATACAGTTGTGGTAGTGGTGGCTACAAAGGCATCTATTTACTTCGGGATGTAGAGGATGTTCCTCATCATTTCATACCTTGTTGAAGAGTTTATATCCTTTATATTGCACTCTTAGGCTGAAGACTTTTAACCCTTTAACCCTTCAAGCCATTTTCAAATACATTGTACATTCATCATTTAGGAGGTCAAGTCAAAACACAGCACTTGAAGGGTTAATGGATTATTTTTTCTTTTTCAGTGATAAAAATCTGGTAGGTTTTACTCACGTCCTAGAACATCGGGTCAAGTGGAAAAATAAATAAAAAATTGAATTTGTAACCAGTAGGCCTGAAAATGTTACTGTTGTTCGATTGCTACAAACAGCATTTTTAGCTTTCTAACCCATGCTGCTTGGGTGCTAGAGAGCTCAGTCAGTCTGTCAACATTCGTACATACCTCAGCACAAAAGAAAATGTAAAATTACAGATGAGCCTGGACCCTGGATTAGCGTAAAGTTTAAGAAAATTAAATCAAAAACATCAATCTGCCATAGGACAAAGCCAGATTGGTTTTAATTTGCTTGCCACCAGGAGTGTATGGCATATATTCGATAGGACTCTAGTCGAATTCTTGGAAGGGTCATACAGATACAGTTGTGGTAGTGGTGGCTACAAAGGCATCTATTTACTTCGGGATGTAGAGGATGTTCCTCATCATTTCATACCTTGTTAAAGAGTTTATATCCTTTATATTGCACTCTTAGGCTGGGGAGTTTTAACCCTTCAAGCCGTTTTCACATACATTGTACATTCATCATTTAGGAGGTCAAGTCAAAACTCAGCACTTGAAGGGTTAATGGATTATTTTTTCTTTTTCAGTGATAAAAATCTGGTAGGTTTCACTCACGTCCTAGAACATGGGTCAAGTGGAAAAATAAATAAAAAATTGAATTTGTAACCAGTAGGCCTGAAAATGTTACTGTTGTTTGATTGCTACAAACAGCATTTTTAGCTTTCTAACTCATGCTGCATGGGTGCTAGAGAGCTCAGTTGGTCTGTCAACGTTCGTACATACCTCAGCACAAAAGAAAATTTAAAATTACAGATGAGCCTGGACCCTGGATTAGCGTAAAGTTTAAGAAAATTAAATCAAAAACATCAATCTGCCATAGGACAAAGCCAGATTGGTTTTAATTTGCTTGCCACCAGGAGTGTATGGCACCTAGAAACCACATAGTTGCTTGTTATAAGGACCAGACTGTTGTGCATCTGCTACAAACATATTTACCTCAGGAACTTGCTACCTGCACATTCTAAAAATGTTTATTTGGTATGTAGCATATCTGCTACCTCATGCAGAGTTTGATAAAAGTTTGATACTCTTCTTCAAAAGATGTCCACCGTAGATTGGGAAGGAGTATGTCAGATTGGTATAATGCAGGTCTTAATGAACATTTTGATTGGGGTTAGAGATCCTGAAATGGACCTGAGCAAGTTGACAGCAAAGAAAGAACAGTGAAAGCATATTTGGAAGATTTCTTCTACCTGACCTTCAAAGGAGAGTTTGTTGTCCAGTCATATTCCAAGGTACTGACCAAAAGAAGATGGTTTAATTTGTTTCCCACTGATGGATACAACTATGTCTATTAGTGATGCAGAGGAAGACATTACTGAAGAAAGACCGAATGAAGTAAAACTTACTGAAGTTTCAAAAAATAGTATTAAAAAAGGAAAAGTTGCTTGCCAAGTTTATGAGGGGATCCCAAATGAAAACCTAGTACAGATATGGTTTTTTTTGTTGCACAAAGTGCTTTGGAAGGTGAGAGGGAGGTATTAATTAGAATAAGTGAGACAAATTCTAACTCCCTAAAGCTTTGAATCCATCCCCCCATCTACATTCTGAAATCGATACAAAACCCTAAATTTGGTAAGTCTCCTTTTATGTGGGTGACGGGTAAGTACAAAACTCTGGTCTGTACCACATTAAACCAACTTCATCCGACGAACCTAAAGAATAAATAACTTAATACATTACACCGGGCATATTTTTTTAGCAGGGTTGGAATTAATCTCATCCACCCTAATTCCTTTAAATGTGGTGCTAGAAAAGGCAAAACTTCCTATTTTAAGAGCAAGATATATGTTGATTTTGATCCAATACTGGGAGTTTTGCCAGTACTGAAAGTAGAGCTTACTGGAGAATGTGTATGGTATATTTTCCCTGAAGCAATGGAGGAGCAGTTAAAAGGTTTCCATAGTAGCACTGTAGTACTCCAAATATTTCAAACTGGACAAAATGGCATCTTCCACAGAAATGTCAATATTCCAACTGTGTGCAGTGCAATTTTAAAGGAAAACTAATCAATCATCTCTTCCTGCCCAGGTAGTTTGTTGTGCTTAGCACACTGCCAAAAATAGGTAAGGGAGAACTCAAGAATTCCCTTGGTGTGTGCCACTTAAGTGCTTTAAGTCTTAAGTCTTTAAGTGCTTAAGTCTTAAGTCTTTAAGTGCTTAAGTCTTGAAGTGCTTTCAGAAGTGCAATTTGGCAGTGGTTCTGACATACCCCCAAAGATACAATTGCCTAGTACCACCACAAGTGGGTCAAAAGATTGCAGTCTTGCATAGAGAAACAAGGGTATTATGTTGAAAAGTGAATGATGCAAATTATAGTTACACTAAGTATTTTTTTTGCTTATTGGACTATTATGGAAACTTTGACTGCACCTTGCATACAAAAAATAGTGCATGTTTTTCAAATTACTTTTCTTTCATTTGAATAAGGTCCAAAATAGAAATGATTATGAATAAACCCAGGTTTATTGCTTCATTTGTTTGCCATCATTGTTGATAGGCTATGGCAAAAGGTTGATAGGTCTAGTATTTGTTGAAAATGAGAAGCTATAAATAACAATTCAATATATAAAAGTTTTCTGATTTCTCTGGCAAGGATGAAATGTTTTTTGCCCTCTTGCAACAGGACATCTGGTGTGGTCCATGAAACAGGGAAGACCAAGTAATTCATAACTAACATTCTGCATTTGCATTGTCACATCCACAATTAACAGATTGCTTTTGTAATGGAAAAAATTATTGATGAATCACATTTCCCTGGGTGAGGTAATATTATTCAAGCCTAGCCTGATCATATAAAGTTGGCAATGGATTTTCAGAATATGATATGAAGTTGAGAATTTAGATTTATGGATTTGTGGTTTTGGGGTTTTATAGAGTTTCAAGTTGCAGTCAAGAAAAAGCAGTTCTATAGTTGACCAATAAGCAGTGGCAGCTCATGATATTTAGCACTAATGGTTTGTCTATGGAGTGGGGGTAGGCAGTGGCCTCCCCTACCTACCTCCATAGACAAACTACTAGCACTAAATATCACAAGCCACAGCTGCCAGTAAGAGTATGTACAGGGTATGGCAAAAAATATGACCAACTTTCAACCTAAATATCCTCCCTCCCAATTGAGTTATTTTTGTGAAACTTTCACATTGCATGTATGAGTATGTTTCCTACTGACACCTCAAATTTCACTCAATTTTGTTTTTGCTGAAGCAATTATATCAGCAGTTATTGAAAAGAAGTTAGACATTAAGAATGGACAAGAGTTCCTGCTGGTAGTGGAGTGGAGGACACACTTGAGCCCTGTCCCTTGAAGGTGGCAAAGCAGGAGGGTTGGCAGTACCAGCAGGAGCTCCTGTCCATTCTCAATGTCTAACTTATTTTCAATAATTGCTAATAGTATTGCTTTGGCATAATAAATTTAGGTGAAATTTGAGGTATTAGTCAGAAACAATACATGTAATGTGAAAGTTTTGCAAAAATAACTATTGGGTGGGAAGATTTTTAGGCTAAAAGTTGTTGGTCGTTTTTTTTGCTGCACCCTATATATCAGTTGTGATTCACCCTTATTAAGGTGAGAACTCCTGTGATTGCTTGAAATAATGGTAAGCTTATACTGTAGCTGTGTTCTATAGTTTTATATTCAGTATTGATATTCTGTTTGAAGCTACATCTGAAAAAATTGCAACTTATGCTCTCTTGTTCTTTATTCATGGCAGTCTAAAATTAAGAAAATTGTGACCAAAGCTCTTAGCCATGTGTTTCTTCATTTGCAACTGCAACTACAGGTGGTTTGCCTCTACTGATGCAGCGGAGCATTGCTTGTCAAATCCAACTGGTTGATGTGATTGGAAAAGGACGTTTTGGAGAAGTTTGGCATGGGAAGTGGAAATCAGAGAAAGTAGCAGTGAAGATCTTTTCTACACTGGAAGAGGAGTCTTGGAGACGTGAGGTGGAAATCTATCACACAGCCAATCTTCACCATGAAAGCATTCTCACTTTCATTGCTGCAGACAATAAAGGTACTATTCCAAGGGTTTTTGCATGATACAATTTTGGCTCTGGTGCTGTAACCTTATACTTCTTGGCCTTTTATTTTTTGTTATTTCAGATGATGGTTTGAGAACTCAGCTTTGGCTTGTCACAGCATATCATCCACTGGGAACTTTATATGATTTTCTCTCTCAGAATGTGATCTCTTTGGTGGAAATGAGGAATTTAGCCATCTCTCTAGTGTCTGGATTGGCCTACCTTCATATGGAGATAATTGGAACTCGAGGTTAGTGGACAACATTTGCTCTTCATTCCTTCCTATATAACTGCTTATGAAATACATTGGGTACCTTCACCTTCCTCTTCTGCCCATAGGGAAGCCTTCAATAGCTCATAGGGATTTGAAATCAAAGAATATCCTCTTGAAGTCACGTGAGAAATGTGTAATAGCAGACTTTGGCTTGGCCCTTCATCATTACTCTTATACTGGAAACATGGACCCTGTTGCTAATCTCCAAGTAGGAACAAAGCGATACATGGCACCTGAAGTAAGTGAAATCCTGTAAGAAGAGATGTATTGACAAGGAGCTGAAAAATATATTTATGTAAGTTACATATTCACCTTCACCAGATTCTACTTCACAGGTTTTAGATGCCTCCATCAGTTCCATCCACTTTGAGTCCTTCCTGCATGCTGACATGTATGGACTGGGACTGGTCCTATGGGAGATTGCCTCTCGATGCATTATTGACTTCGTACCAGGTAATTTTGCATCAAATTTTTTTTTCATTCCTATTAACCCCTTAACTGGGGAACATAGCTTTATCCACACTCAGAAAGCTTCCTTAAACTGGGTGGGATGGATATATCCAAAAATGTAAAGTTTTTTTAGAACAGATATATCTGTGCCCCCAGTTTAAGAAAGCTTTCTGAGAACAGATAAAGCCACTCATCCTGGTTAAGGGGTTAAGGTTTTTGATTAGACTGGTTTGACTAAGGCTAATGTCTGTCTTAGGGGGGGAAACATGTGAGTACAGAGAACCTTATGATGAATGGGTTCCATCTGATCCTTCCATTGATGAAATGAAATTTGCGGTGTGCAAATTGAAAATGCGACCCCCCATTCCATCTTCATGGGAAAAAATTTATGTGAGTTTGGAATTATTACGTTGGTTTCTTTTTCTGTCATACTTAGAGGGTAAAGCAAGGCTTCACCCTTCAGCAAAGGCTGAAATTAACTATAGAAGATAAGTTGACATCCAATCTGATTGGTAGTTGTTGAATATGGGAAATATTTAAACTAACCCCATTGTTGAGAATTCAATAAAATTAATGTGACATGGAGATTTACAATGAGAATAGGAATTATGATAATTCCATTGTAGATACAGTGCACTTACAAAGTTTCACAATCTGGACCCTCCTGTATATGTGGGCTTAACAAAAAGTTCTAGGACAGGCCTTCATACTGGTACACTTTTGTACACTGTGTACAAAAGTTAGGTTTCAGTATGATCCCTTTTAAATACTTCCTTTGACTTGTGATACACTTCTACCAACATCTGTAAAGAGCTTGGAACATAGGCTGACCTGGGAGCATTGGTGTCATAAAAAAAGCCGTCCTTCAGAAGGAACTACATTCTTAGAACCTGCATGAAGTCACAAGGTGCAAGGTCCAGTGAGTACAGAGGATGTGGGAACAATGTCACCCCACAATTAGTTAGAAATTCCGCACTCACCAGACCTCACACCTTGCAATGTACCACTGTTTCTCAGAATGAAGTTTCTTCTGAAAGGCCACTGCTTTGACAGTACAAACACTCTCCAGTCAGCTGCAATTAATGTGTAGAAGGAGGCTACCAGTAACAGGTTATAGCCAGTCTTCCAAGCTTGTTACAAGCTTTTGGATAAGTGTATCACAAGTCAAGGGAACGATTTTGATGGAGATCATATTGAAACCTAACTTCTGTACATGAATTGTTCACATGAAGACTGGTCCTGGAACTTCTTGACCACTCGACCCACTTATATACAACATTTACCTGTGCTTTTGAACTGATGCACATTGTTCTTCTTCCTTCACTCCACAGGGGGCATGAGGGGAATGTCACTTATGAATCATCAGGGACAGCATGGATCCCCCATTTCTAGATTTTTTAAAACATCCCCCTCTCTCCAAGGGCATAGTGCCCTGTTTCAGAAATAATTGCAGATGAGTGGGTGTACTCATTTCACCACTTTTACATAGACTTTATTATGTAACAGCTTGTTGATTAAATGTAAAAAATATATTTAAAAAAGAGTTTGTAAAAGGAGACCAGCTCCATGTTTTGAGTCATGTACAATGTTCCATTGGTAATGGTGAAGAGTCTCTGGGGAAAAATTTTGCAAGTGAATTAATTTTGTGATTCCTTTTGCCATGTGAGATTTACTAAATTAAAATAGATACAACACATTTTTTCCCTGCACTGTACTACTGCTACCTTGCCAAGGTAAGAGGGTTGTGATTGAGGGAGCTGGAAGAGTGGGGCCTTGTAGCTCATTGTTTCTCTCTCATGATACTTATATGACATTTATCAAACCAAGTGATATGTATGAATCTAAATGTGTAATACATATCTAGCCTCCACTTCATATATGTATCTCTTACTCTCTGCTATCATCTCTACTTATATTCTCCTGATGAAACATAATTTTCACTTTTTTTTGCTCTTATCGAGTCTGTTGTGTAGAAAGGCCTTCCACATACTAAGAAAAGTTTTCTACAGCAGGTGGCTAGCTTTAGACCATGTGTAGACTGTGTTGTTGAGTATCTATACCTATATCTGCAGAACACAATGCAGTAATTATCTCAAGGTAAAATAAGATTGCTCTCTGGTGCATGTAAAGCCAGTCCTGAAGAAATATTTCTTAGTTTCCTAAGTAAGGCATTTTTTCTTGGCCAACCTTCCCTACAATCCAAAGCAGCAATTTCTGTATAGTTAAACCTAGGGCATTTGAATGGGTGATGCAATCTTGCACAAGAGGGGGGCATAGACAGAAACTCAGACCAGGTGGAAGGATTGGGTTAATGAATATGGGCTCATGGGTGTGGGAGATGTGTGTGCTTTCTTGCCCGCTTCACCAGGCTGTTTCATATTCACTTGCCAAACTGCTAAATGTGCTTGCCACTGCCAAGTGGAAATTTTACAGACTGGGCTTAGCTGTGTGTAGTCAGCAATCAACTTACATGCTATACACTCTTCTAACTCAAGTCTTCGTTTTGCTCCTCTGGAGATTTCGCAATGACCTTGATGATCTAAAAGTTTGAGCAGAACCATATCCATGAGGAGGATCATTATGGGTTCAATACTTGCATTAAAGATTGTCATCCTTTTCTGAATTGTAGCCAGAGGAAATACTGAATTCAGTATCCTCAGAACCACAAATACTGCAAGTTGATTCATATACACTTCACTGCCTTATCCTCTGCATGCTCATCAATTATTGTTGTTTCAATGTGCTTAAATTATTCCATACATGGACCTCCATGAAAATGTGAAGTGCCTCCATCCAGTCATTCTCCTGGCACCACATGCAGGATTCCCTGATTCTATCACAACTACTCAAAACTCTTGGCCCAGACCTGGATGTCTTTAACCCTTTTGAGGAGTGGGTTTTTTTAACGCCTAAAAGATCACCTGTAGTGAATACATGGAGGGCAGGAGGATGTCAGCCTGTATATATATGGGCATACTCGTCAAAGGGTTAAGAAAAGAGACATGAGAATTTGTCTAATGTCTCATCACTTCAAGCCTATGATAACCTGAGTTCATTTCATTTTTTGGGTGTTGGTCATACTACAGGGTGTCCCAGAAATCCCGCCCCAAGTTTTGTACATATTTATGTCTTTATTTTTTTCTGATGGAAATGAGTTTTGTATCATTCGAAAGCCTAGACCTTTCTTAACAACTGCTGTTAAACTTGGCAGTTTGTGATTTCTGGTTGTGGGGATTTTTGATTAAGAAGGCATATACTACAAAACCCCAAACATCCCTGACCTCATCAATGCCATTTCCACCAAACTGAATGCCATAAGCTTGGACATGTGCCAGAAAGCAGTGAATAACTTTCCCCGGTGATGCCGTATGTGTCATGATCAGAATGGGAATCAGTTTCAGTGGCAAAAAGATTGAATCCCTGTTTTTAATCCCTGCATCCCAGAAACCTCGCCCCAATTTTGAATGGAGACTAATATTAAGTGAATGGCACTGATGAGGTAAAGGATGTTAGGGGTTTTGTAGTATGCACCTTCTTTTTCCAAAAATACCACAACCAGTAATCACAAACCATCAGGTTTAACTGCAGCTGTCAAGAAATGTCTAGGCTTTCAAATGATACAAAACTCATTTCCATCAGAAAAAAAGACATAATGATGTACCAAACTTGGGGTGGGGTTTCTGGGACACCCTGTATATAGTATATTAGGAAATCCAAACTCTTATGTCAATATACATGGTAACTATTAAACGTTGCATATGATGTTTGAATGTAAGTGCATGGAATAACTCTTCTTGGAAGCCTATGATGGCTGTCATTAAATTATTGTGGGATTGGTGCAAAGGGAGAGTGAAGGGAGACAAGTGTAATTGCCTAAGTCTTATTTCAGAACATTATTTTCACAAAAGCAGAATTTGGGCTCAATATGGGCTCACTTCTGTTATTTCATAACAAAAGGCATGTGGCCACTGAACATAGTCTCGAATATATCGTTCAATCCAATATCTATTGGCATCATGATGTAAGTTACTAGGGCCAGTCAAATGAAAACAGCAATTAAATTTCAATTAGCTGTGTATGTAGCTTTTATTGGAAATACTCTTTATGGGCATAGGGACGCTTGTCCCACTACTCAGCCTGATTTTTTATGGCACTGTTGTTGTTGTTTGGCACTATGTTCTCACTGCCTCCACAGTCATGAGACAAAGACCCAAGCTGACATTCTTCTGATCTTCGGTCAGACACTTCGGTATCCGTTTGACACACACCAAATGGAACTGGAGGCGATCTTTAGACGATTTTGTGCACAGACTCATGGCTAATCCCCAATTCTGTGGCCATGGCATCCGAAAACATATACAGGTATCTGTTTCCTCTAATCACCTTGTCCTTCACGAATTTGGCTCGTCCGGATCTGAGTTTGCCCCCAATACAAACGCGTTTGTCATGAAACATTTTACATAATTCATATACTCATCTCTGGGACAAACGTGTCTCACCATAAATGGCAACCATTCTGCGAGGGATGTGAAGTGGTTTCGCTCCCTCTGTACGCAAAAACTGTTTCACAACCCTCTATTCCCTGGATGCCGCTTCAATGGAGGTACCCATCCATCTTTGTGCCATCTTCCACAAGTAGTGGTGCCAATTAAATTTGGAGCCCTACACCAGTGTAACTAAGATTTATACATTATGTCCTGAAAGTGCGTCATTTGTACGATTTTTTTTGCGTGAGTTTTGCTTGACTGGCCCTAGTAGATGTGAAGGGATTTCACTCCGGGGAAGAATAGGACATTTCAATATCAAGTTCAGAAATCTGAGGATGGAGTTCATATTATGCATTTCCACAAGAAACGAAACGGATTTTCTGGAGTTCCCAGCCCTACAGTACATAGACAGCATCCCATTCACATTCCTATAAATAAAGCACTATAAGTTATCTGCATGTCCTCATTGTCACGGTTTTCTTGAAGGAAGATCTTCTTGTGCCTGGAGTCAGTATGCCTGTAGTGATTAGAACCTTATTTTTTATTGTGAATCCAGGAGCTCCACCAAATGTCCCAGTTGATTCAAGAATGTTGGTTTGAAAAGCCATCCGCGCGTCTCACTGCATTCCGAGTGAAGAAAACTCTCACCAAAGATCCCCCATGTTTCCAGTGGTTCTCCGAGAGGCCTCCTCAGTGATATAAAACGTGAAGCTATGTTCTGGAAATTTAATGCCAGTACTTAAGTTCTTGGCTGACTACCATCTGTTGAAAATACATTGATTGTTTATCTTGGATGTCATTATCAGTTCATTTACTTGTTGCCAAAGAAATTGGACAATATGATATAAGGCACCCCTGCCTTATATCACATTGTCCAATTTTTTAATATTTTCCAATGGCCAGACTTCCTGACCTTACGAACCCCGTAACGAAATCTCCATTTGGCCGAGAGCCACAAAACAAGCACCACTTTACACATGCATTTTCTACCGTCAACACTCCAAATTTGCAAAATAGATACGCATCCTATCTGAATTTAATGGTTATCGATCGACCTCGTTTCCATCTCTTCATCTCGTTTGTCTTCCTTGATAAATTTGGGAAATCTTGCAATGCAACACTAATGATATCCGTGGAAAATTTAGACACCTGTTAATCAAGTTTTTATATCAATAGTGTGAGCATGTTAGGCCCTATCACCTTTTCAGACTCTTGAATTGACAGATATGCATGCGAATACAGGTCGTTCAAGGAATTGTAAAAGTTCAAATAAGAGAGATAGTGAAAGCTCAATTCCTCAAATAAGCAAGATATCCTTAATTTTCTATGCTAAAGTTATATCACGTATAACAGGATATGCACGCATCGAAGTTGCCTACGTTCCCCAGTTTTGGATTGGTATTTAAGTCATCACCTAATAATATTGACGAAGTTAATGATTCGTCACCAGAATGTTTAATTTGGTCACAGTTGATTTACATCGCCAAATTCTTATTACCTTCACCAAGTGATTTCACAATTAGACTTAATGAATCTAACTCCAATTTCTCCCTCGTGTGTTCACCAAACATCGTGAAACGATCTTGATCGAATAAGCACCAAATTATCGCCACATTTCACATGTCAAAAGAAAAATTGCAATTTCTTATTTTTAGGACAGAGGGAGGCTTCTGTCTTCCTCACTTCTTCCCAATTGGGAAAGATCCAGCTTACAAAGAAGCGGCGACCTCCAGGTTGTAGATTCGTATCCCCAGTGAAACCTTGGAAATGCTTGCCTTCATCCAACTGGGCTAGTGCATTCCAAATACAAAGCTCTGAGAACCCGGAGTCTTGCTCTCTTCAAGTCCCAATGCTCAAGTTTGCTGGTTAGATACTCTTGCACGCTTTTCCGAACCTCAAGCCTTAAAGTTGCTAGTAGGTGTCACCTCTATTACACAAAAACTGGAATTGAGCGCCATACGCCATACAGTCCCATGCATGTTCACAGGGAGACCAATTACACAGGTCCTCCCCCCAAGTTTGATAGGATTTTACTGTCTCATCATGCCATAGGTCCAACGAAAAAAAAAATATTTCGTAAAAGGGTGGCAATTGCAATTTGGTGAAATAAAAAATTAGAATTTGGTGACTGACTCCAATTTGGAGAAGATTCATTGTGATCTGGTGATGGAGTCAATATATCAGCAGGCTGAAAAGATTTATTAACGAGTTCATTATTATTGGTAGGCGATTAAATACGAGTATATATCCTTTGGAACACACGAGCCTCCATTGTTCACCTAGCATTTCACCGCGAGCCACACTTGAACTGCCCGGAAGCCGCGGTTTGGCCACCCCAGATATAATATGTGGGCCTATCAAAAAGTTCCAGGACCAGCCTTCATACAAGAAAACTATGTAAAGATGTTATGTTTCAATTTGACTCCCGTCGAAATAGTTCCTTTGGCTTGTGATACTCCCGAACTTTGTAAAGAGCTTGGAACGCTGACTGTAACTCATTTTTGGCAACCTCCTTCAACTTGTTAGTCGCAGCTGACCGGAGAGCGTCTGTGTCGTCGAAGGGGCTACCTATCGGAAGGAACTTGCTACTGATTGATTGCTGGTGATCTTGCTGAATAAAAGCTTCAGATGAAAGCAGGATAATGTGGGGTAAAATGAGACAAGGTTACAATATTTGAATATACCGCGAAGGGGTGTGGAGTGGTGGTGCTCTGAAGCGTCGCTAGATGTTTCTTGCTTCCCCTGCTGTTAGCAAACAATACGTGAACGCAATGCGTCGCTCAATTAGCAGGAAAGAAAGAGTGACCGAAAGTCGAAACAAATTGTCCTCTCATTTTACTCCACCTTACCCTGCTACTTGTTGTTTTACTTAGCTGTTTTGTGGGGTGAGGCTTCTCGTCACTTGAAATGGCCATATGCCTGAGATTCCTCATTTCTCTTTCTTGTGGTAATGTGCTTGCTTTGGAGAAAGTACAAATATGTACGTGAAAAAAGCAGCATTTGATTGAACTTGTGTGAGAAAATATCTAAGGAAAAACATGGATAATATGACAATTTTCGCTTGGTCATAGTGCACTCCCACAATTTCTCAATTCCTTTATGGTATTTGTGCATCATTCTGGCCAGCCTGTTTTGTTTGTGCTATCAATTGAAACCACGGTGCTATTCTTATGGCTAGTCAAAAAGAAATGGGGATACCTAGAAGGTAAATACACGAGTCACAATGAGAACATATGCTGCATTCTATTGGTGGTTGGAACAGAGAAAAAGTAGGCTTCTTTAAACCTTTTTTCTCAGACCTACTCTCTATCCTGGCCTCACCCAAAAATTCAGTCTATTCTTGTCTCTCCTAACCCCTGGACACTTATCTTGATCTTGAATCAGTACTGGCAAGATGGGTACATTCAAAATTTTAAATTAAGTTTTGAATCACCTGGTATTATTCAAACATGGAATGATTTCCGTCCCCATTCTGTCACATCAACCTATTCAGTGATTGTAGTGTTAAATTAGAAAATGTTGGAAGTGTAACATATCAGAAGGGGTGAAAATGTCGGATTTCTCGAAATTTCAACGGGGGGAGGTGGGTAGGGCTTGGAGCCGTCGGGTTCTTTTTCATTTGACTGAGTTGCCTTGTAAGGATTAAGTTCATTCTTGGCAGGATATAGGCTGTACCCTGGTCCTTCAAGCTTCTCCCTTGACGGAACTGAGCAGATTGGAGTTGCCTGCTACAAAGGCTCATTTCCTTGTGGGATGGAGCACCACCACCACACATAAACGGGTGTAACGGAGAACCCGTGGTCCTGCTGTTGCTAATTCAGCTATGTGTAACCTAATTTCTCAACTGCGTGGACAAGCTGGAAACCTAGAGGAACACACGATTCTATCGTTCGTAAAGTCAGAGCCTTATTTAAGCCTGTTGCAGTCAATCAAATGGCTGTCCCATTGCGTCCTGTAATCATCGTCGTTGATAAGCAAGTTCAGCAAATATTGCCATAATACCCAATGTCCCCTTGTAATTTGCTCCTTTCCCACAACAGTTGTTCGATGTTCAGGTGGGCATAACGGAGACGTCGGCACAGAGAGGAGGTGGGGAAGTGCTCCCCCCTCACTCCCATGTCTGTCAGCCAGAACAAGTTGCAAAAGAAAAAGTTAAGTCGAAAAAAAAGTCCCAAGATTCTCTGAAGGTACAGGGGGTCAAAAAGTTCACCCTTTTTCATTTGATTGTAGCAATCTAATTCAAACGCGCTTCTGCAACTTGAAGATAGATAGTGCAACTTTTCAATGAGTGCAATTTGTTTCAAGGAAGTACGACCAATAGTGTTTATGCAGAAAATTTTCTCGACGCGAGGCAAAAATGTCTCGATCATTTTCCAAAAGCCCTTGGATCAAACGAGGTATGTACGGGTTGGGTTAAGCATCACGCAGCATGCGACGAAGGGAACGAGTGCCGATGCCTTACTCGAACGATGCCCGACGTGTGAATCTCTCCGGACTCTGAACAAAAGCTTGGGCCAGTGGCACCTTGTTTTTTTGTTTTTTTTTTTCCCGTAGCTATTGTGGTAGGTCTTCCGCTTCGTGGTGCGTCAATTACTGAACCAGTCTCCTGAAATTAGTCTGGTAATTGATAGATGGCTAAGCGGGTCGTTGGATCAGTCTAAAAATTTTCCCTCTAAGCTCTTCTCGCCTCCTCAGCGTTCTCTGTCTTCAAATGTCTCCAGCTCAAAAATTCTCTCTTCCTTGCTTATTTTTCTCGGCATGTTTATGCCATTATGTCATTAACCCTTGGAACGCCAAGATCATTTGCATCCCGCGAAACGCCAAGATCGGGTCATTTTTGACCCATATATATTTCTCGTAACGAATGAGGTATAGAATAGAATAGAATAGAAGAATAGAAGAATAGAATAGAATAGAAGAATAGAAGAATAGAAGAATAGAAGAATAGAAGAATAGAAGAATAGAAGAATAGAATAGAATAGAAGAATAGAAGAATAGAATAGAATAGAATAGAACAGAACAGAACAGAATAGAAGCTACACATACCTTTTAAAGATATTTATGTATTTATTTCCCAAGTAGATACCAAAAAAAGAAACGATCCAATGGAACCTTGGAGGACTGGCCATCGGGTCATTTTGACCCGATCTTGGCGTTCCGAGGGTTAATGTATCAACCTTTAAAAAAAGTTAATGACCAACTGTATAATGACTTTTGCCCCACCCTATATGAGGTTCGGAATGACTTCATAATCATCCTATATGCACCATTAGCGCCATTTCCTCAATTTTTTGTATGCATAGTGCACACGAGACTTACTCCTTAAGAGTACCATTAGTCTTCATTTCCATGTAGGCGCTAACAGTTTTATCTCCCAAACTTTCCGCTCATCGATCAAAAAATTATGGAAGCAGAAAAAAGAAGAGGTGAAGAGAGATTCCCCAATCCTATTCTAACTGCTCCGAAGCGAAATGAAGGTGGACCTTCTTAGCCTTCACTTGCCGTAGGAAGCTGCCATTTTATCCCATGCCCCTTAGTGGAGAATGGACCTCGGAGAGAGTAAACATTTTCTTGTTCATTCGAGCCCCCTTCGATACGTATACGTACAACCTTGTTGCATTGAATCGAGGTCAAGAGAAGGAAGTTCTTCGTTATCAGCTGCATGCCAAAAACGGAATCTGCGAAGTGTTGTCCTTTTTGGAGGGGACAATTCTCAACCTCGACGAAACCTTGTCAAGAATTAAGAAGTAGGACAGTCAGTTATTTGAAGGCACTGGGAGACAGTCCAGAACAAGATGTAGGGATACGCAGAACGTGGGGAGAGATTAAATCATTTTTACAAGGACCCGCGGGCCTATTCAGACGCAACCATGCCGCAAATTGAAGAGGAGCCTTGATCTTTGTCAATTAGAATGAAATAGGCTGGTCGGTTGAGCAGGAACGTGGCTCAGAACTTGGACTGTTACTACTCTATTATTTTTCACACGCCTTCAAAATCACTCCCCCAATGTACAGAACATTTAGACTCTTTAAAATTCCTAAAAAGACTGGAAACCCTTGTTTTCTAAGACCTTCTGTAGCCTGTGTACGACTTCAAAAGTCTTGGTCGTAAATAAGGATTTCCGGGACAGTGTGAACCGCTCACGAGCGGTCGCTCTGGGTGAGTGTGGTGTTACATAAAGCGAGTACTCGCCAGCGAGGACTTACCAATTACTCGCTTCAAATTGCCAGCAATCTATTTCATGAATGGGGAGAATGCTTTTCTGAGCACCTACGTACAGGTGTCGATAAATATGAAATATGAAGAGCCCACAGTATTTTAAGGATTTTTCTGACCTTTGGGAACAAAAGATTCTGGAAGACATCGGACACATGCTGAAGTTTTCAGAACCAGCATTTATTCCTAAAGGCCCTGTCACACTTGGCGAGTGCTCGCCAGCGAGGACTTACCAATTACTCGCTTCAAATTGCCAGCAATCTATTTCATGAATGGGGAGAATGCTTTTCTGAGCACCTACGTACAGGTGTCGATAAATATGAAATATGAAGAGCCCACAGGAAGAACGATCAGTCACGTTTTTGAGATAGTGCTGCCACCTATATGTTTGTTATACAAGCTTTCATTTTTTATATTCCTAAAATTGCAAATTGATCGATGATACTATGTCATTTTTTGAATCTTGAATCAACTAGGAGCCATATGGTTTGGAAACTTCATTTATGTTTTCCCAAAACAGCCTAAGTGTTTTGAGATCATTCTTCGCGTGGGCTCTTCATATGCAAGGATGATGACTGCCTGCAGAAAGTAGAAGTTCTCATCAGTCACGGTGGGACTAGTCGACGTTGTGATGGCACGCCAACTGTCAAAAT